TGACTGAAATGACTTCAGAATAGACTACATGATAATCAGTATCACAACCTGAATCAATGCCGATTAGCGTAAGAGTATCAATCTTTGGAATATGTCAGCATGTTGCGTGATTTTCCGTGACTACTGTAATTTAATTTAGTTAAATTTCTTACTTAATTTACTTTTTAGGCGATATGCGGTTGCTTTTCGGGTTATTGTAATACAATATTTTTCTCAATTCATTAGAAACTCTGGTCAGTTTCAAAAATTGAAGGAAACTTAATATTAGTGGTTTTCTTTTAATATCCAAATTTACATATGGTGCCAACTGAGGATTGTATCCGATTCACTGTTTTTTTCGTCCGGTTCTTATTTCGATTTTTTTCTATTTAAATTTTAATTATCGCAGGCTAAACATTAGATTATTTGAGAAGTATTCCTATTATTTTCTGTTTTTATGCGCTCTACTTTTTTCTCTTGATATGGGTCACCTATATAACCTCTGTTATCATCGGTCCCGTAAGGCAGATTCTCGCGGCTAGGAGTTTCTAGGTTTGGCGACCAACTTTAGTTTTGCAGATAATTATTAGGGATGAGAATAATAGAGACTTCCGAATGCTTTATCCGTAATGATTGTAGGCCAGTGAATTATGCAAATAGGAGAACAGAAGTTTAAGGCGATTTTATAACTAAGTCTAAGGAAATATCAAATTTTATTAATTCAGGCGAGGTGAATGAAAATTTTAGTGCTTAGGACTCCTAGCAACGGTGGTGAAACGCCGCTTGGGATGGAATGTGCGGCACGACGTATTATAGAAGCACACCATACATTTTGTGTGTAGTTTTCACCATCCCCAAAAGAGGAAGAAGAAGAAGAAGAGGGGCAGTTTCTCGGACCAAGTTATATTTAGGCTGACGGTTCAAAAACACGTTCGTTTTCATCTTCAGAGAAGACAGCACGCTCTAACGATGAAAATGAGAGTGTTTTAGAAACGTCCGCCTAAATATACCTTGGTTCTAGAAATTTCCTTAGCTTCCTTATCCTCTTCCGGGGATAATGTACCCAATTTTATATCTGGACCTCGAATCTTTGTGGATATTAATTTTCGTGTGTATATAAAGTCATTTGCTGCTCCTTGTAGAAAATTCTTTATGTATGTTGTGATGCGCAGCGAGAATGTCGTAGAACTTTGTCGCTGTTTACTACAAATATTAGTGCACGTGTGCGTATCTCACGCGAACCGCAAGGTGACTGAGGACATGTTTTGTACGTTGTACGTTCGATGACCTGCCGGTGGAAACTAAGGATTTGTGTGTAGAGGATAACATGGAGTTTGACGAAATAAGCAACCAAAGTGGCTGATGGAATCAGTACAGTGGTCGTGCTTCCTATAATCGAAAAGTCATAACAGGTCACTAAAGATTTAAATTTAAGCGGTGCCATGGATCATGACAAAATAAGCAACCAAAGCGGCTGATGGAATCCGAACAGCTGTTGTTCTTTCTGTAATTTAAAAGTAAGTGCTGGTCGCAAAATAATTCCATCTTTGCTCGCCAAGCCTTTTTGTACTCGCACTTGGCAAACACTCATGCACGTTCATTGTCAATCGCTGCATTAGGCCTACGTTATCTCGCCTGTCCTACGGTCCCCATCGACTCGCCGCCCGAGACGCGCGCAAGCTCGAGGCAAATCGATGCGCGCCATTTCATTTGATTGACCATAAGGACACACCT